TTCGCTGTAGCGAGAAGACGTGTCGATGCAGCGAGAATATCTCGCTGTAGCGAGAGTGTCGCGACCAGAAAGGGGTTTAAAGGGGGTTAAAGTTTAGGGAGAGTTATTTCTCCCTTTTCCTTCAATCCTCTCATGCCCAAAGCCTTTTTCCACCAATTAAATTGCCTCCAAAGCTGTTTGGGAGCTTGATTGAAGATTGAATCCGTGTGGGGAACGCTTGGAGGTAAGTTTTAATGGTTAGGGTTTCGATGTTTCATTCTCTTTCTCTGTTTTCGTGGTTTCCTTGGGTTCTCATGGAGTTTCTCCATGTGTTTAGGATGAAATTCGTGAGGGAGAGTACTTCTTAGTGGATTTAGTGTGTAGGACATCGATCCAAGGTAAGGGGTTCTATCCTACTATTTTGTGCAATGAATTGTTATTATTCTGCTTAATATTGTGTTGTGGCCAAGTTAGGGGGTGGAAAATTGCTGAGAAATGTAATGTGGGCCATGTGCCGTGATATGTGAACGTTATGTGTGTTGACCCGAACTTTATGGATGTGGATTGTATGTAAATGTTGCATGATAGATGAATATTGGCTATGTGCCGTGTGATGTGAAATGAATATGGGCCTAGTGCCGTGTATTTGAATACAATATGGGCCGTGTGCCGTGTGTAAGCATGATTATTGCATGCGTGAATGAAATATATTTGTAAATGGGCGTATTAGCGCCGTTGTAATGTGCTGTGAATGGTTTAGCAATACACTGAGGGTGTGAAAGATGAGGACAGTAGGAATACCTTGGGGAGGAGAGAGTGGTGGTGACATCGACTGCAGAATAGGTGCACCATAGGCCACACACTCTCTTCCTAATTAGACCTCTGACCACTATCTTTATTGAGCGACCCGTGACTGCTCACGTGGTATCCGTGAGACGGGGGTAACAAGCGACCATTCATGGTGTAAATCTGTGATCACAGTACTATAGTGAGTATGGCTGGTATACGTATGCATGAATTTGTGTTTTGTACTTATGGATGTGAATTGCTGCCTTTGATTGTGTTTGTTTAATGTATTGAAAATGTGCTGGAGGTGAGACTCTACTTTGATTGCGTGTTTTTGGTAGTGTAGAGTACTCGCCCTTATATTCATTTTTCAGGTAATCAAGACGATCAGCACCGGACTCAGTGAAGGGGTGGATGGAACTGCTATAGGACTTAGGATTTTATTTTGGAAAACTGTTGTATTTGAATAAGTCCTGTAGCAACTATTTGGTATGATTTGTAACCCGTTTCTTTATTTGAAATGGTTAATGAAACTTGAATTAAAAATGAAAATTTTATTATTTTAAAAATTTGCAAAATTTCTTATTTATTGAAATTAAATTTAAGGTATTACAATCTTCCTATAATAAAGCATAAGAGTTAAAAATATTAAAATAAAAGAAAAACGAAATAAGTATGAAAGATGAGTCAATTCTTTAGAAAAATTAGTGTTGTTCCTTTTCAAAATAATAAATTTGATAGAATAATGTTAGTTTGTATCTAAAACTAATAATCGAATATGCAAGAATATAATGCATTAATTAAGCACTATTAATTTGATTATTCATTAGATAAAATAAAGAGAGTGACCATCTTGGTCATGATGGGAAAAATTACATTTTTGTTATTAAAAATGTTAGAATACAAAAACAACTCTTTAATATGAGGAAATAAACATAGGATTCTAGAAAACTACTTGAAAAACATAGTATTTTAAGCATACATCTTTCTACTAATTTTGTTGCAATTCTAGTTTACATGTAATTTGACAAAATGCAGGAGTAAAGTTGAAAGAGGAGTGAGGATTGGGATTGGAATAAGGTAAAGGGAAGGAGGAGAGGTAAGGGTTAGGGGAGGGTGCAAGAATGAGGCTGAGAGAGGGTTGGGGTTGGGGTTGGAGTGAGATAAAAGGGATGAAGAGAGAATGGGGGTTGGGAGAAGGGTGAGGGTTGGAGTTGGAGTGACTTAAAGGGGAGAAGGAGGGGGTGGGGGTTAGGGGAAGGTGTGTAAATGAGGTTAGGGTGAGGTGGGGTAAATGAGGAGAGGAAGAGGAGGGGGTATAGAGAGGGGAAGGGGTTGGTGGTGGAGTAGCAGAGAAGGGAAAGAGAAAAAGGGTGATTGTAAACTCTTTATTTGTTTGTTTGTTTGATAAATGTTCTAATATTGGATAGTGTTAGAATATGCTTTACATTGAATGGAATAATGTTTATTAGAGTTTTGATGCAGAGAATCTCGCTCAGGCGAGGCAGGTCTAACTCAAGTGAGACTGAGCGCTCAAAACCATATGTTTTTAAGATAACCTTGTTTAAGCGAGATATGATGGAGTTGGCCTAACTGCCCTCTTACCCAAGCGAGTTGAGTCGCTCAGGTAAGGACTCATAAGAAAAATGTCCAACTCTCTAAACGTTGTTTCGCTTAGGCAAAAATGATCCTCGCTCAAGCGAGAATATTAGAAAATGCTTGGAGAGATCATTGTTTGGTGTTCTTGCTAGGCAAAATATGTCTCACTTAGGCAAGAACGACCTCGCTCAAGCAAGAGGTGCTTGCTCAAGCGAGAATGTATGGGCTGAGGGGTATTTAAGAGATTTTCAGCCTGAAAATTTTATTTCACTCCAAATCTTACATCTTCTCTCAACTTTCTCTAAACTCTCCCTCTCTCTTCTCAGATAAAACCTCATCAAACTCCAATCACTCCTCGAATCCGAACTTGAACGTCAAATCTAAGCAACTCTAAGTAAGTTTCTCTAGGTTTAACTCTATTTTCTCTGTTCGTTTCTCTTGTTTTTCATTTCTCAAGGATATCTCTTGATACCTAGGAAAACTTCTATTGTTGAACTATAATCTTCATCGATTTCTCTTTGAATACTCACCTTGAGATAATGAGAGCTCTATTTTATCATTTTAGTTAAATGTATATTTTGTATTCATGGAGACATGTTTATATGATCATGATTGAGAGAATATATGTTTGAGTGATATGTGTTTGATTGGTTAGTTGGGTGACTATGTTGTGTTTATATGGAAACATGATGATGTATATTAGATGTATTGGATGTGATGTGTATCTATTGATTGAAATGTTCAAATTGTATGGATAATATGTGAATGACCTGATTATGAAAATTTTATGTAATGTTATGAGGGAGTGCTTAGTTGGTTCTCCATCAACCAATTCAACATCTAATAGAAGAGAATTGATAATAAAGACTAAATTTTAACTTTTTAACATTTCAAAACTAAATCATAACAACAAATTTTATAAAGACTTATCACAAAATATTTAATATTTATAGAGATCAAAAATATAATTAAGCCTTATTTTAAAATTCAATCACTGCTTATTTTTTATTATATTTTTAAATATTAAAATAGAATACAAATTTTGAATTAAAAAACCTTAAAATGGACAAATGAATAAAAAGTACTTGCATATAATAACATTGGTTTCCTATTTAGTTTAATTTTTCTTTATTTTTTAATTGATAATTTTTTATATGTTTAATTTTTAAAAAAATAAATTAAATACAAATAATTAAGATTAAAAATTGAAATTTTTTCATGTAATTAAGTAGCATAGTTTTCCAATTTTGATGTTTATTTTTAGTTTGAAGTTAGTATTTTTTATGTGTTTGTATTTATTAAATGTTAAGACACACTTACACCTCATTTTGGGTGCTAGCTAAGAGGTTATGATGAACTAAAAGATAAGTGAAATATTATTAAGTGTCATGTGCTTTGAATTGAAAGTTGAAACAATCAAAGGTGAAATGCATAAATGAGAATGTTGTTAAGAGTACAAACATGATTAAATAAAATAAATCTAATAAAAATAAAATAAAATTTGAGATGAACTGAGACGTAATTTACTTAAAGCAGATAAGTGATTTCTAATCAACATAAAATTATAATAATAAATAACGATAAATTTAACGAGTATTTTTTTCATGATAACTTTAAATAGAGTGATAACAGTAAAAAAGTAGTTTGACCAAATTTAAATATTTAACTTTGGATAAAAACAAAATCTCATGAAATTATATAATTGGTGAAAAGTTTGACACACCATATTAATGAACCATAATCATATGTCATTCTAAACACAAATCATATGTTTAATAACGAATGGGAATATGAAATATTCACATTAGACGCTCCCTAAAGTAGCTTTTGCATTTTAAACATGCATATAGGATTCACAGTCTTATATCCAAACACGTATAAAAACAAAAACGATAAAAATCCTCTCGTCCTTAATTCAGATTCAAAGTCTAGAAATCATATACAGTAGTGTTAGTCCACAAAAGATTATTAAATAATGGTTTCTATGGTGGGGAATAAAATAAAAAATTCAAATACAAATGAAGGTTCTTAATATATTTATATTTTAAATGTATTTATTTCGTTTTATTAACATCTTTAATTAGTTTATTGTTATTAAAATTAATTGCTACAGTATGTTCCTTTGGGCTATTAAATATCCAACAAATATGGGCTTCTAGCCTGTAGTATTGAACTCATTATGGGTTTTTGGGATGGAAAAGTGGTACAGTTTTGTTCACATAAAAATTTTGTGACCTGAGCCTGTGGACCTGAAAGAGAAGTGGACCCCAAGAACAACATATTTAGCTATTATTGAGCTTGGCGCTTTCTGTGATGCTCTCAATTGGTTTAGGCACGACGAAAAGTATCATATTAATCTTTTAACAATTAAAGTGTCATTGAGGTCTTTATTTTTAAGAAATTAATTTTTATCCCAATTTGTTTTAAAATTTGTATTCTTTATTTTCATACTTGGTTTGAAGTTTGAACTTTCGAGTTTAAAAATAAGATGAAGGGATTCTGTGAAGATTCTTGAATGAACAAAAATAATATTAAACCACAATTTAGAATACATCATAAACCTTAGTAAAACTCTAACAAGTGTGCTGAGATTTCTGAAGAAGTTCGTCCCTCTGGTCCAGGGTTGTGCGCTCCAAATGGCTCGGCGTTTGATTCCACTGTTGAATCGGGTTTTGGGGGAGAAAATCGTCCCTCCATCAAAAATCAACACTGGCATTTTGGTACCCGAGAAATCTTCCCAGGTTCATTCTTCCAATCCCTTTTGCTTCATGCCCATTTCATTTCCTCCTTTTGGCTATTCGCATCTCAAAATTTCATCTTGCTTTAGTAGTCTGGGGGAATTTAAATTGCTACCTGGCTGGGTAATAATGCTACCAAGCAAATACCAGTTGTTCTAATTGTTTTTGGATTGTGATACTCTAGTTCTTTGTATAGTAATTGTTCTAGTGTATTTCCAGTAACTATTCCTTCATACCCATTTCATTTCCTCCTTTTGGGTATTCACTTTTCATCTCAAAATTTCAATTTGCTTTAGTTTTTCCATATTGCGCTTATTCCATCTTCCCTGTTACTTTTTTTTTTCTTTCAAATTTTATTCTGCTGCTGGTAGTATAAGGGAATTTAAATTGCTACCTGGCTGGGTAATAATGCATGCTGTACTCATTACTCAATAGGGACTCATAAATCGTAGCACATTCTTGTGACTAATAGTTTCTTTATGCCACATATTTGGATGGACATGTTAATAAATGATCGTGTGCTCAGCCCGTTCAGGTTCCATTAGATATGTGCTATAGTTAAGTTTAGTGTAGATCATGCATAGGATAATGGAAATTTTCTCCCAATTATATCTTGCTTGATAAGCAATGTAAGGCTACCAAGCAAATGCCAGTGGTTCTTTGGGATTGTGTTTGTATTGTGATACTTTTGTTCTTTGTATAGTAATTGTTTTCGTGTATTTTCAGTCGCTATTTGAATTTGAAAATTTGAGTTTTCATGGTTCATAATTCGTTTTCAAGTCTAGTGTTTCATTTTCTTTGGACTGAAAAATGACAATTAGTCACTGCATTCATACATTTTGTGTTGCATTCTTGATTCGTTGAAATACATTTACTGAGCTGATAAATTTTTACATGTTTTAATTTAGCTGAAATCTGGAAAAGCTATTGCTGTTGGCTCTGACATTCACAGTAAGGATGGGAAGGTAATTCCTGTGGCTATAATGGAAGGTGACACTGTTCTTTTGCCTGAATATGGAGCAACTGAGGTGAAGCTTGGTAACAAAGAGTATGTATATGTTTTTTTATAATATATTTATTTGTTTGCCTCCTTTTTACCCTCACAGAATCCTGCAACTTGATCCTAAAGTTTAATATGCTGCTAGGTATTAAATATTGCACGATAGCTCTCCTACAGCGGTGACATGATCCATTGAAATACTGTCAAGTGTTAGCTTTTAGTTAGACCACCTCAACTAGAGGAACTAAAAACAATAGTGTAGAAAAGTAAAGATTATATTCCAACAAAAATTTTTACAAGGACTAAGTCTAAATTATTTAACTTTTACAAAGACCAAACTCTTAATTAGTAATAAATTAATATTTGGGTCAAGTGTGTGTGTATACACTGCAGAAAGACTCTAATATACTTATATGTGGTTTGGTTTTATACTTCTTGCTGATTTAATTAATTATGACAGTTTATTAAAATTTTTCAAGGTAATAATGGCCATTACCTTAAACATTGTGTTCTTTATTTTCCCAATCTTGAATGCACTAGGGAAATTACAAACACAAGAGAAGCTAGTAATGCATATGACAAATACAATATAAAAAGTTTGTCTGGATGCCTGAACTGGACTTCAAGGCCAAATGATAATAGTCTTGCTACCTGCCATTTGCTAAGTCGTCATTTTACATCTGAACACAATGATGGATGCACAAAGGAGTTCTCAAGGAAGGTGCAGTTGATCTTATGTATACTATATTTTCCTCGTATTGTTATGTATTTTAACTTGGAAGTTGTTGTTAAGCAAGAAAGAGAACACATGCTTAACTTGATACATAATTATAGCTGTTATGTCAAACCTATAATTTTATTTTCATGAAAATGTATGTTCATTTTTATTTTATATTTCAATTTTATACATTTAATTCTGATGGAAGTAGCATGATGTTTTGATGATTAACATTTCCTTGCTTTAACATTTTTTCTTCTGATCTTTCATTGCTGGAGAGTTTATGACTAATAATAAACGCAATGCTTCAGCTTCTTGCAAGTATTCCAGACTTTGTAAAGATAGTGGAGGTTGGTGCAAGGGATGGATTGCAAAATGAGAAGGCTATTGTTCCTACTGATGTAAAAGTTGAGTTGATAAACCTGCTTGTTTCTACTGGGCTGTCTATTGTTGAGGCAACAAGTTTTGTCTCACCAAAATGGGTACCACAAGTAAGAGTCTATTATTTTTCTAAGAAACACTCAATCATTTGTGATTTTCTATTAATATTGTCAACAATGTGTAGAGACTCTTATATTTATAAGGATACATATGTAATCCTAATAGGCTAGGCCTGTTATTATAATACTAACATAAATCCTAATTCTAGTAAGTCTATTATAGCTATTCATAACACTCCCTTTCAAGCTGGAGCATAGATATTAATCATGCCCAGCTCATTACAAATATAATTGCTCCATGTCCCATTTAAAACCTTTGTAAACACATCTGTTAGTTAGTCGCCTGTCCTAACAAGAGAGATGGATATTAGCTTCTGCTGAACGTTTTTTCAAATAAAGTGACAATCTATCTCAATATATTTCATCTGTTCATGAAAAATTAGATTTGAGGCGATGTATATCGCTGCCTGGTTATCACACCAAAGTTCATAGGCTTAGTGCTACCAAATCCTATCTCTTCCAACATATGTTTCAACCACATCAACTCATAGAAAGTCTGAGCCATTGCCTTGTATTCTGATTCCGCACTCGATCTCGATATAACGTTTTACTTCTTACTTTTTCATGAAATTAAATTACCTCCCAAGAATACACATTATTCGGTAGTAGATTTTCTATCCATATATCCTGCCTAATCAGCATCAGAAAACGCTTCTATCTGTGCATGTCCATGATCTTTGTACATAATTCCTTTTTCTGGTGCTTTTTTCAAATATTTCAAAATGCGGATTAGTGCTTCCCAATGAGTATCCGTTGGAGATATCATAAACTGGTTAACAACACTCACAGAAAAAGCAATATTCGGCCTTGTGATAGTCAATAAATTCAGCTTGCCTACTAATCTTCTGTATTTCTGTAGATCTGCAAAAAGAACTCCATCTACTGTCAGTTTCACTCTTGACTCCATAGGTGTCTCACATGATTTAGCTTCTTTTAGTTCGGTCACAGTCAATAAGTTTAAGACATTTTCTCTGTGAAAGGAAGATTCCTTGCTTGGAGTACATAACTTCAATACCCAAGAAGTATTTCAAAATTCTCAAGTTTTTTGTCTGAAATTTGGTTTGAAGAAATTTTCTTAGGTTGTTGATTCCTTCTTTGTTGCTACTTGTAATAATAATATCATCAACATAAACAACAGGTAAAATACAATCAAGGTTAGTTTGTTTGTAAAACACTATATGATCACTCTCACTCATCACTAATCCAAATTCTAGAATCACGCTACTTAATCTCCCAAATCATACTCTAGGTGACTGCTTCAAGCCATATAATGACTTTTTTAAATAACACCCTCTTCCACACTCTCCTTGAGTAACAAAGCCAGGTAGTTGATCAATGTACACCTCTACCTGTAAGTCTCCATGTAAGAATGCATTCTTGATATCTAATTGGAATAATGGCCAATGATGCATAGCCGCAAGAGAGATGAAGATGCTAACAGATGAGAGTTTAGCAACTGGAGAAAACGTATTAGTGTAGTCAACGCCATAAGTTTAGGCATACCATTTTGCAACAAGTCGTGCCTTCAAAGGAGTCAAAGAACCATCCGAATTAACTTTCACAGTGTAAACCCATTTACAACTAATAGCCTGTTTTTCCTTGGGAAGAGGAACTAAATCTCAAGTATCATTCGTCTCAAGAGCCAACATTTCTTCTTCCATAGCATGTCGTCAACCATCATGACTGAGGGCATCTACAAGGGTCTTAATAACAGAAAGAGAGTCTACACCATCCATGAAAGATTTAGACATAGAGGATAAATGAGCAGACGTCACATAAGATGAAATAGGATAGGTTCAAGATTTCTTACTCTTACGGATAACAATAGGAAGGTCAAGGTTAGACATAGGATCTGTTGATACTTGAGGAAATAATGGTAGAGGTTGAGTACCATCTTAAATATCATTAGGCATGGGAGGCGCATCATCTGAAGGCTGTTTTGGCCAGCAAGAGTATGTTCGCTCAAAAAACTTGAAACCTATATCAACAAGAGCTGGAGGTGCAACAGGATGTGTAGATTGGACAATAATATAAGTCAAGAAAGATTCATCTACCTCATACATGGACTCAGAAGATGAGGACTTAAAGAGTGGAAGACTTTCAAAGAAAGACAAATATGGACCAAAATCAGGAGAAAAATAACGATAACCTTTTTGTGACCTCAAATAATTCAAAAACACATTTTTGGGACTTTGGATCAAATTTAGTTACCTGAGGACGAACATCAAATACAAAACAAGTGCAGCCAAAAACTTTAGGAGGTAAAGAAAAAAGAGATTGTGATGGGAAAAGCATAGAGTGGGGAATCTCACCGTGTAACATAGATGATGACATGCGATTAATTAAGTATGCAACAATAAGAACAACTTCGTCCAAAAAATTTAAGGAACTTTCATTTTAAACATTAGAGCAAAGGCTAACTCCATAAGATGACTTTTACTTTAGTTACTCCATTTTGTTGTGGAGTAACAATATAAGAGGACTAATGAAGTATGTCATGTTTATTCATAAAACTAGTGAAGGATGCAGAAAAATATTCTGTAGCATTATTATTTCTAAAAATGTGTACACAAGTATTAAATTGAGTTTTAATTTCAGCACAGAAATTACAAAATATAAAAAACCTTTAGATATGAATTTCATCAAAAACAGCCATGTTACATGAGAATAATTATCCACAAAGGTAATAAAATATTTAAAACTAGATTTAGAAATAATTGGACAAGGACTTCACAAATCAGAATGAATAATTTCAAATGGGGCATGAGCCCTTCTATTTAAATGAGGTAAATAAATATTAAGATAATGTTTAGCAAACTAACATGACTCACACTAAATATTAGACTCTATACTAGGACATAATTTTCTAAAAACTCTTAAAGACGGATGATCCAGACGACAATGAAGTTGGAAATGAGACACTTTTTCGCTCTTAGAAGCAATAGAAGCTTGTGGAAGTCCTTCTTTTTCTAATAGATACTACTCATTAGATACCCTACCTCTACCAATAATCATCTGTGTCACCAGATTTTGAAAAATACAAGAATTAGAAAAGAATTTTAATGAGCAATTTAATGATGAAGTAATTTAGCTAATGGACAACAAATTTAAGGAGAATTGAGGCAAATATAAAACAAAAGATAAAGGTAAGGTTGAAACTAGGGTGGTACATCTGCTGCCCTTAATATGGACACTAGAACTATCAACGAGTGTTACAGAAGAATGAAAACTGGGTAGACAAAAAGAGGAAAGGATACCTGAATCCCCAGTTATATGACCAGTAGTGCCAAAATCAATGATCTAATGCCTGGAAGAAGCTGAAAGATATGCAATAAAGGAAAAGATAAAGGTAAGGTTGAAACTGGGGTGGTATACCCGCTGCTCTTAATATGGACACTAGAACTATTAGCGAGTATTATAGAATAATGAGAACTGGGTAGACAAAAAGAGGAAATGATACATGAATCTCTAGTCATATGATCAGTAGCGCCAAAATCAATGACCCAACACCTGGAAGAAGAGGAAAGATGCAGTAGGATTACTTTTTTGGACAAAAGTGGCTGTAGAGGATATAGACGGTTGTTGAAAAATCTGAAACTGAGTATACTGAATAAATTTCTCAGCACTCATATGCACAGTACGTCCTTTCTCCTGAGTAGCTTTATCAGGTTGAGACATCGAGTTAGCAAAGCGGGAATTATCTTGTAAGTGAAAAAACGACTAATTCTGTGGAGGATGAGTGCATTGATTTTGATAATGGCAAAATTTGTCACAGTCATAGCACTGTACATTACCATGACCTCCACTACACTCATGGCTATGACTACCTCTACCACTTCTACCACCACGGTTACCGTATTGGGCTACCAAGACAGAGTGGTCAGGAGACTCATTTTCTGTAGTGCTCTTAGGTTCCTCAAAGGAAGACTACGTAACTCTAGAGAAGACATCAGTAGGATTATCAAGTTCGGAGAGCCAACTCAAAGTCATGAGTTTCTACTGTTGCGCTATCATCTTGTCAATAGTTTTGCAAGCTAAAAGAGATTGTATCTTTTCAATATGCTTCTTAAACTCCAAAAGATAGTTCATTAGCTTTCGCTTATTCTGTTTGGGTCAATAAATTTCCTGCAAGAGAGCATACAACCGATTCTAATTATCAGATTTTCAAAAAATAAATTACAAGAAGTCTCACAACTCCTTCACGGTTTTGCAATGGGTAATAATCGCTTGTATTCGCCTATCAACATAATTTACTAGCAACGCAAGGATCTTTTTGTCGCGTATTTTTCATGTGTCAACATCCTTAGGATTGACAGGTGTCATTTCAATCAAATTACTATCCTTTTCCATTCCACCTAGGCTAATCTCAACCAAATACTTCCACTCTATATAGTTTGTACCGTCTTCATCCAGCTTAACATCAGTAAGTTTGGATAGAGATACAACCTCCGTAACAGCCCCCTTATGTTGCGCATCTTGGTTATTACTTTCAGATTATATATCTACAAATAGTGATGGAACTACTTGGTTTTTCGTCTCAATGGCTACATTGAATTACTGCATATTCTAGCCATTGGGAAACATTTTCATCCCCACAGTAGCCATGGTCGGCCTTTTCTGAAGCTATTGGATTTTTTTTATTTTTATTTTTTGAGCGGCAGTGCCAGTGAGGGAGGAACCTTAGGAGGCTTTGATACCATATAGAATTAAGAGAGAAAGAGAGAGCACAAAGAGAGACAGATTAGTGTGTTAGAATTAGATAAATGCTCTACAATGTGTAGAGACGCTTATATTTATAAGGATACATATGTAACTCTAATAGGCCAAACCCGTTACTATAATACTAACATAAACCCTAATCCTAATAAGTTTATTATAACTATTCATAATAATTTTCAAGCTTTTTGCATTCATATAAAGAGGAAATATCTTTACAAATCATATATTTTAGTTAATTGCTTGAGTTGCAAGATTCAATACAATTCATCACATGATCAATTCGTATCATGTGTGGTACATGCATGAATTTGTGCAATTCCATATCTTTATTATCAATCTTAGATAGGAGCACATAGTAGTCAACCCCAAAATGCTATAGTGGTGTAGCACATAACAAGATGATTGCTATTTTGAAAATTTTATATAAATTACATAACTTATATATATATATATATATATATGGTTTAAAATTTAAAAAAATAAATACTAGAATTCATGATATATTCATAATTAACAAAAAATATCATTAGTCTTAGGCAAAACATACAAGTATATAGCAACAAGAGTCAAGGAAATAAACAAGTTTGCTTAAAGTAACAAAACATTGAAGATCCAAAAAAAGTTCTCCTTTATGGGAATCATCAATCATCCTCTTTTAAGATCCAAGTATTCTTTTTTTATCACTTTTCACCAATACTAAAGTGGTAGATTTCTTCCTCCCCATCATCTTCAACTTCTTCATTGGTATCTATTACTTCATCATCTTCTTCAATGACTTCCTTTCCTTTTCCCTAGTGGTTGAAGGCCTTGATGAAACTTCCCTTTGGTTATATTATTAGCAATATCTCGTCAAGTTAGACTATCTTCATCAAAAACCAAATCATCTTCATCATTTCTACCTGCTACCCATTTCTCTCTTTAGCAACTCGCTGCTATAATTAATATCATCTAAAAGAATGAGATAAATCACAACACAATAGTCAAAGTGCTCTTTTAGTGCTTGGTACTTAATACTAATCATGTCTTGCAACTTTTGATGCTCAAGCATGTCTCTTGTTTTAATTGATCTATGTTATAGCTTTTAACAAAAAATGAATGAGTTTCATAGTTGTCACATGAACTCTATAAATTTAAATTATTTAACTTACATGTTCAAAAGTACTCCAATTACGCTTGCATTCTGGTGAACTACAAGTGAAGCTTAGTACTTTAACAATTTAACAAGATTTTGCAAACTTGGAGAAAGTACCCCATACATCTGCCACTACTCAGCTGTAATGCAATAGCTTATTATGTAATTGTTATCTAAATAAATTTATTTAAAAAGAAAAAATTACACTTTCACTTACCTTGAGCTACTATGTTCCTTTGCCCTATTGCTGCTTTTAAACTAAAGAGATCTCCAGTTTTCATGTATATTGATAATTCATTCGAAATCTTATTCATAACTTTTTCATTTTTACTAAGCCTTTTAATGCATTTATAAAGTTTCTTCATCACTTTGGCATTAGGATCAATTCTTGGATTGCGTTCAAAAGATGGTGAAGTTTGCACTCCCTCTTGTATAAATGATTGAAAAAATTTCTGTATGTGTCTTCGTTTCTGTTAAAAGCATTTTGAATTGCCTCCTTAACCTTATCCATTGCTTCATAGATGTACTCCATTGCTGGTCTTTTTTCATTATAAACAAGCCTAAGAATGTTACGGACTTCAGTTGACATTGAAACTCAATTGTGACTTATGATTTGTTTCGTGAGATTTATGGTTAAGTTGATTTCTAAATTCCAAGTTTAAAATGATTACATTAAGTAGTATACATTGTTAAGATGTTTAACATTGGTTAAGAATATTCCTTATAAGACTTGAGTTAATCTCCTCCTATAAGATAGCTTGTTAGGTTCAATTTTATAATATACATAATTTATATGATATATTTTAAGCTATTTTTCATTGTGTTTCTAAATCTTAAAAAGGAGTATTTAAACCCTTAGTGTCATCCCATAGACTATTCTAATGAGCATTACATTCCCACTTTCTTATGTCTTCCCTTTTAAATAAGTGCTCCTCGAGATCGGCCAAATTTCAGTTTAAATCCAAATTTTGAACTGAGCACAGCCATGCTTAATATTGAGCACAAACATGCTAAGGAGATGCTAGATGTGCTTCACATTAGTATGGCTGTTCTCAAATTAGCACGACTGTGTCTTAATTCAGGCTTTGGTGAAGTACGGGTGAGCCAGCGAGGAGCATGGTTGTGTTCAATTTCAGTACAGCCATTCTCATTTTAACATGGCTATGCTGATGATTCTTCTTTAGTGAGGCATGGGCATGCATGATTTGCTGAGCACGGGATTGCTCAGGTGAACATGACTATGCAGGTTCGAAATTTCTTAAAAATGGTATATATTTGAATTCTTTTATGGACTAAAAAGCATCCTTAAGTTTCTTTACTTGTTTTTGCTACAATATAGGAAAAATATGTGAAAATAGATCAATTACTGAGCTTAAATAATTAAAAATTTACCTAAAATCTTACAAATAAACTGAATTACGACTCTTGGTTCTGTAATACAATTTATGATTCATAAATTAGTTTGACAATTTATGATTTGAATTGTAATTTGATAACCTACTTGATCTTTTCCCTCCCTCAATTCTTCAGAATTGTGTTTCAACTGTATATTGCTTTCAGACTCAAAATTAATGAATAATGGGATCCTCTGACAAACTAATTTTCATATTTTTAACTGAATTCAGTTGGCAGATGCAAAGGATGTATTAGCAGCAATTCAAAATGTTGAGGGTGCTAGATTTCCTGTCTTAACTCCGAATCTCAAAGTAAGAATACAGTGAACAGTGAAAAAATTATTTTATTCAGAATTTGTGAGATGATTATCTGATCCCCTTTATTCTAGGGTTTTGAGGCAGCTGTTGCTGCTGGAGCTAAAGAGGTTGCTGTTTTCCCTGCAGCTTCTGAATCATTCTCTAAAGCAAATCTTAATTGTGGCATTGAGGATAATCTTGCTCGTTGCCGTGACATTACTTTAGCTGCTAGAAGCTTCTCAATCCCAGTTCGTGGGTATAGTTTTCTATAATACTTGTCAATCTCTACCATAAATAGTGGATAATTTTTCTCATTTTCTGAAATGTGTTTCTATTTTCTTCTAGTTGAAACAGAAAGGACATTAGTATATATGAACACATCCTGATTTGAAGACAAGGGACATTATATTTTTCTAATAATCTTGAAGCATCACGTGTCAGCTATCAAATGTTTCCACTTTGCACTGTATGTATTTGAAGACAAGCAACTTTATATGGCTGTCTAAAAGGATGGCATTTAGATGTAGAATTTGTATTGTTTTAGTGATATCTGGTCAAAGGAAAGGTTTTTATTTCTATTTAATTGGAAATTGAAATCGTAGCTGATTTGTTATGTTAATGAATTAAGTGATGCTATTCTCATTATCAGATTATTGTCAACCATAATCTCTCCATATTGGAATTGCACTTGGTTGGATGAGAGATTACAGAAATTGTTTTGCAGACAGTAAATTGTGTCCTGGATCCTAGTTTTCCTTACTAAAATCTATTAACTTGTCCATGAAATTATTTGAATAATCTTAATGCAGTATTTTGTTAAATCTTCACTTTAAATTTCAATTTCATCATAGCAATTATATGATCAATCATGTGCCTGTGTTCCTAATTCAGATATATATCATGTGTTGTGGGATGCCCTTTGGAAGGAAATATTGCTCCAGCTAAAGTAGCCTATGTGGCAAAATCACTCTATGAGATGGGATGCTCAGAAATTTCACTAGGGGATACAATTGGTGTTGGTACACCTGGTAATGTTTCTCTCATTTGTTGTCTTTGAGTTCCACAAGCAATTTTCAGCTTTGGTTGTAGTGCTGGTGTATCTATGTGACATGTTAAAAAGGAATTTGTTAAAATGTAGTATTTTCTGAGGTATATAATTAAATATCAAGGGGATTGAGACCTGTGAAGTGAGAAAAAGGGTCATCATTCTTTCTGGAAAAGCCATTGTCTTTGTTAAATCTTGATACCTTCAACGGAAGTAATAGTTTGGGGCAGTTTCATATCAGCTTTAGTTATAAACAACACAATTTGAAGATTAATGTTATGACTTTTGACATAAGGCCCATGAGTAGAGCCCATCATAAAAGTCTAATCCATTAAATGGTAGTTTCATGACTTAAAGTACAACATTAAACGTTCTATTCTACTTTATATGGGATTCTTAGCAAATAACTGATTGTCTGCTGTCAAGACTATCGTACTTCTGATATGCAGTAAATGAGTATTTAATGAGTTCTTGCATCACTATCCAATATACTTCACTTTTATTGTCCTATCCGACTGTTTTGGTTTATCAAATATTCTGAGTTTGACTGAATCATGCTCATCTTTTAAGGTACTGTCATTCCGATGCTTGAGGCTGTTCTTGATGTTGTCCCAACTGACAAGCTTGCTGTCCACTTTCATGATACTTACGGCCAGGCGCTTTCAAATATTTTAATTTCACTTCAGGTAAATATTTCTTTTTCGGCATGCTGATATTTTATTGGAGAGCCTTTTTGCATGTGATTTTATTTTTTATTTAATATTAAGGGTAGTCCCCTCACAATCACCACAGCAAAATTAACTACTTATGGAAGATTTTTGGGTTACCTTTTCTATCAAAATGGTCAACCCTGTGCACTTGCCCCTTGTTATAACTTGTTCACTGACTGACATGAAGAAACTGAATTAACGTCCATGACATAGCAGTCTAAAAAACCGATTTATGTTTTTTTTATGTTTCAAGCTTAAACATGCAAGTGCAAGTACAACTATCTTGTTACAGCCTGGTAGAAATAATGAAAATTTTCAACTGCTGTGTATGCTTCAAATTAATTCCTATCTGGTTAAACCTGGTCATTATTTTATAGATGGGGATCAACACTGTGGATTCATCTGTCTCTGGTCTTGGAGGTTGTCCATATGCCAAGGGTGCAACTGGGAATGTTGCCACTGAGGATGTTGTTTACATGCTGAATGGACTTGGAGTGAAAACCAATGTGGACCTTAGAAAGCTAATTCTAGCTGGGGATTTCATCTGCAAGCATTTAGGACGTGCTTCTGGTTCTAAAGCAGCAACTGCTTTAAGTAAAGTTACAACTCATGCCTCCAAACTGTGAGTTTCTAAAGCTAGATCATGCAGAGTTTGCACGATGGGTAGAATTTTTACCCACTTCTGGGTATTTGTTATGTTGGTGCTCCCTTGCCGTGGGCCCTTCCTGTAGAAATAGCCAGCAAACACAAATGTAACACCGTTCAGTTCTGCTTGTGTTCTCAGTCAGTTGAGTTTGATTATTGAGACATTACATGGTGAACATGGGTAATCGGGAACCAAATTATGAAAATGCACAGTTCGTCCGATTTGACATTTTTTATAATAAAGTATTTGATGAAATCATGAATAAATTTCAATAATATTGTCATATTTGAACCAGTTTACCGAAAAAAAGGGAGCTAAATTCTAAAGCAGCTTAGGTGCCACTAAAGTTACTGCAACTGAGTGAAGTTAATATTATCCAATTTTCTGTATGATATATATTATACATGTGGCACCAAAGAATTATCATTTTCCTGTGTTACCGTGCCACTTGACAAATTGTTTATTCCTTTATGTTTGTTTCTACTAGCGAATTATTGTGTATGTAATATTTATATTGATGTCATCTTGCACACTTTACTTCTCGAGTACATAAAGAATCTCATTAAGGCGAGCCGCTACTCACAAGTAAAGTGCTAAATTAGTAACAAACTAGAAAGCTGAATATCCCATATCCCATGCCTGTCTGAAAAAATCTTGGTCCTCACCCTGCTTTTAAGCAACCCTTTTACAACTGACACAGTAATATATATCCATTTAAGAGAGATGTTCCGTGTTGTCTTCTTCTTCCCTTGATTTTCTTCCAATGAAAGGATCTGTGTACTGTGACAACTGAAAAATTATAGTCGTTGAGAGAGTTGTTGATGGCATAAGTCAGACAGTTATTGCTCTATTACATAAACTTCAATCTATGCTGTTTCATTAAAACCACCTTTAAATGCACTGAAAAGTTTGTCTCCTTAGCATGTTTCTTGGAGTACCATCACATAGACATACACAGTGAACAACTTTCTGGTTAACTACATAATACAAAATCCAATTAGAAAAATCTACTTTACGAAGGGGAAAGTAGAAGAACTTCATAGTTACATTAGCTGCTATACCTTTGTATTTCATTATTTGTAAAGCGTCATGATCCAACAATTCCAAAACCTTAAGCTTAAATGAAGTGATAGTTTTGACCAAAAAAATAAAATAAAATGAACTGATAATAAAACAACTCGGTCACATATGCTCTAAAATAATAGCATGTCATGATTCTCATGAATCAACAATGTTAAAAGTTGAAGCTATTAAATGAAGTCACATGATTTATTTTATAGTACATCTTTAATGTAAAACACTTGGATCACCATTTTCCAGTGTGATACCGGCTTTAGCCGGGACGATTTTTCAAATCACTGAGATTGTAAATCTTTTCTGGGTTTTTATTTGTGGTTTAGATTGGATCATGATAAACTCTACCAAAAACAAAAGACTCAGTCATAAATGATTGTAATTTCACAAGCGATTTCTTGAAGAAAGACTATCCCAACCTCATATATACAACACTCGCATGAAATAAATTGCTGCTAGCCTACTGTTTTTGGTCAAAATAAATTTATTATATTGTAATAATGGACAGTATCAAACTGTTTGTAGGTCTTTTTAATTGATCTTCTGTCAGGGATCCTATCTGAAGACAAACGGGCATTTGTGTTAATGAAATTCATATTAACTTTAACTTCATCATTATTGTTATATATCGGATGCCATTCAATTCACAAAACCTTGATGTCACAATTTAAGGACCGGTACCTAATCCCCCCTCCCTTTTCATACATTTATTAAATGAAGATAATAAGGAATAAATTTCTTCTGCATATTATATGTCCAAGTACTTTCCAGCCCACAGCACAAATCCAGCATGCAAATGCCATATGGAGAAACTAAAGATATCTTTACCATATTTGTAATATCAACATGGACCCTCATTTCATTTTCTCTCTGTCAGTGCATTGGGTAAAATGGCTAGTCTTTCTCCATTGTAGTTCTACTAACATTGCAAATCTTTGCACTTATTTGTCCTAGTAGTCCCCAAAATATTAATCATTTTACCCAACTGACCCTATAAAAATGAGAGTGAAATTAAGCTATAGTCACAGATGAAATAGAAAATTTCTTGTCCTCTCCATATGCATAATTAATGTTTGCCGTTTCATTTCATTAAAGATACTCAAATGAGTCTCTCTGAATGTGGAACCTTACTTTAAATGCCAGCCTTGTCGTGTACATATATGCTTACTGTGACATTCTGTTGCCCGGAAAATGACTTGACATGCTCGTGAGGTAATCCTATAATATTGCCCCTGTGATATAGTTCCCTTATTTTTATTTCATTTTTATTTTTTCCAAGCACATTACTCAACAGCAACATTAAAAAAATTGACTTCTTAACATACTTTTCAAATATTTCTTTTGCCTCATGCATCCATTTTAGGATCCAGGTCCTATGCTAATGTTATGCTATTCACAATTATCTGAGCTTTGAATGTTACATTCACCCTATACTGTCTTGTTTTTATGTTTTTTGTTTTTAAATGAGGGTTCATTTAAAATGACGAGCGCGTGAATTTAACGTTCAAATTGTTGAAATTAAGAATTCAAATTCTAACGACTTTAAGAGTAGATTTTCAAAATTTAAAGGTTATGATTTTAAAATTTGTCTATATATTTTTCTCATATTTTCAGCAGTTAATTTTTATTAAAACATATTATGACTTTTTATTTATATTTTAAAAATTTATTAAAAAATTATTTTAATATATAGAAAAAATATTTAATATTTTCTTTATTTAATAAATAACACGATTGGAAAAGGAGTAATGTTGATGGCGAACTCTAGATTAAAAAAATTACAGCTCAAAACAAATTGCTGCTCGAAATTGACATCGGATTTATGTTAAAGTGAGCATTAAATGTCAAATTTGGCTTTTTGTGGAGTCTCCATAATTCCGATGCATTTGCAGCCAAAGAGAAATTGTTTATGCTGCACAAAAACAGTTTGAATGATGAACGACAAAATATCTGCCCTCAAAATAATTGTATGCTCTGTACCCAAAAATAAAATTACAAAAATATTTTTTGAAATATTTTGGAAGATACCCTTTGTATTTCTTGTTACTTTCTAAGTATAATTTTTGGAATATATGAATATAAAAACAAACAAAATATATATGGTGTAAATTTTTAATTATAATTATAATAAAACTGAAAAAATTATTGTATCATATAATCCTAGTTTAAATGGAAAGAAAAAAAATTGAAATTTGAGTAAAGTTAGAAGATTTTTTTTAGTTTTCTTTTATTTTTTTCTCTTTAACTAAACAAATTTTTAAAATATTCGTTTTAAATTTATTTATCAATTGAACAAACATTAATCTTTCTTTTTTTTTATCCTCCCAGTAAGTGGATATATGGCTGGCATAAGCAGAATAAAAAAAAATGAAGCTTACGTGGGGCCTGGCTCATAATCACGAAAGAGAAATTAATATGACTGGACGGCTATGGACATTTGATTCTTGCTGAGCTTCATGATTAAAAGTGTTATTGTAGGTTGAAAAAATTTATGCAGATCCATGGCTCAGAATTCATCTCATCACACGGTCGATTTCACAAGAATCACTGTACAAAGGACACTTTATTTTTTAACTTTATGAATGAAATTACATGTTGACTAAATTAAACCCTGGCCCAACAACACATATCTACATTGCCACACTGAAATGGGTGAGGTAGAAGTATGTACCAAACAATCAAGCTTGAACCATATATATATATAACTAAGATAAAATCTAGTGGTGAAAGTTTTCTAGGTGAAGACAAAAAATTAAGATTAAACTTTGCATCAGCAAGGAAATGGGTATCTTAACAAAGGAAGCGGGTCAAATTTAAGATAAACTTGTGAATAATTGTAAGAATAAAAAATGTTTTATTTTTACCTTTTGGAAGAAATTACTTTCTTTACCTTTTTTTATTTTCAATTAATGCTAATTTTACTCGTGATTAAATAATGTATTATTATTGTCATTTACATGCGGGATAGCCATACACACTATCTTCTATAAGCCAACAAAACCTTAGCCAAATATAGAAAACCCGATGATGTCTATGAGAATCCTGGAAGCATGCAAGAAACACATCCATTAAGGCATTATTACCTTACCAAATCCAAAAGCAAATCAATATTCGCTCGCACTAACAAGCAACAACCTATTGATGGCATCCACATTTACTAACATTCATATATCTGAAAACTCATCATATATATAGATATATATACGATTTCTTCAAAAATAGTTTTAACTATATTCTCTCATCATCATCACCAATATAATCTCAAACCTAAAAATTTTCATATACATCTGTAAACTTACCGGAAAAGACTTATAAAGCACAAAAAATGCTTTCAAATTGTAATATAAAGAAAGAAAAGAGAAAAAAGAGGAAGAGAAGAAATTAAGAGAGCTAGGAATATTGAGGACACCAAACATTGTGGATATGTCTCTGCAGGTAACTTATCTGTTGTGTAGAGGATTAGGACCTGTGTACACTTTCCTTTTATCTGCACCAAAAACTTGGTCTCCCTCTTCATTTGCACTATTTCCTTGAAGGCCAGTGCCGTGGAATTTAGAGGATTTGAACTCAGAAGCTGATGAAGCACTTTTGAATCTCTCAAATCTGGCTTTCCCTGATGCTGCGATACATGGGGTGGTGCTCAATAGTAAGAGCACTACCAGAAGTAGAAATAGGAAAACAAAACCCATTTTTTGGTTTTTGCTCTTTGCACAAATCATTGCATGGGATGTGAAGTACTACACACTCTTCTTGTTTTTCTTCTCTATTTTATCTGTGGCTGCTTGTTCTGTGTGGTTGAGAGATGGAGGCTTTTTGGTTTTGGTTATGTTATCAAGAAAAGAAGCCTTTTGGTTGGGTTTCCTTTCTTTAGGAGCCTAGGAGTTTGAATAGGAGCAAAGTCAATGCAAGGAGAGAACCAGCATGCATAGAACTTGCTGCCAGTTTCCTTAGTATTTAGAAAATGTTTGGTACAGATTTCAGAGCCAAGTTTTTTTGTTTTTGCTTAGGAAAATAAAACACACTGAACTCTAGTCTCTAGGCAGAGACAAACACCACAGCACAGTGAAAGAAAGTAAAACTAGCACTAGAGAGAGAGAGAGAGAGATGGTTTG